GAGTCCTGTTGCCAGACAAAGTGTCTTCCAGCAGCCTCCCTGTTAACCCATGGCAGCACTACATTTCAACGTACTTGATGTAGGCCTCCACGTTGAGTTTGAAACCCTCAGCAACAAATTCGGAGGTTCTTTTCTTAATACGATCAGAGTGAGTTTACCGAACCGTCGTACATTCGTAATCACCATTAGACTCATCCAACTCTTCCCGAATCCTCTGAACTGTCCTCTAATGAACACCCAAACACTTTGAAATGTCCGTATTGAAGCTTCCGGTGCGAATGCCAGGCAATACATTATGCCGTTTCCAAATTTCTGGTGTAATGCATTGTGTCATCTTAGTACACTGTGCAGTCGAAAAAACATCAAAAACGAACAACTCTTATGCGTGAAATTAAAAATATAAAATGGTGACAATTTTCCCATTTCAGCCTGTATACGATTTTGAAAATTTCGTGTTGGGTGTGGCATTTTAAAAAAAATAAACTTAATTAAACACTTCTTCATTCTTTTTAAACAAAAGTTCATCGAATTCTTATACAGGGAATTAATTATTTTACAAAATGTCAAAAAGTCATGACCTTAATACGCACCAAAATATATGCATGCGTGCGTTAATTAAGATTTTCAACTGTAATGTTACCCAGTTTACTGCACCTTTCACCGAAAATTTCAGACATCTCTGAAACTCTTTTCTTTCTTTTTATGTACCATGTCCTTTCAGGACGTAGGCGATCATGGCTCTCCACCTCCTTCTATCCCTTGCAGCTTTCAACAAGTTCCTTCCCTCTACTTCCTTCCTCAGACCACGTTCTGTCATCCACTTGCTTAAGCCTACCAGGTATGTCACGCGGTGCTTTTCCTTGTCTCTCTTTCCCTCTATTCGACCCGTGAGTATTAGATTCTCCAGGCCCACCTTCCTCATTATGTGTCCCAGAAACTTCAGCTGCCTCTTCATGATATTAAGTATAAGCCTCCTCGTTTGCAACCTAAGACCTCATCGTTGCTCACACGCTCGGTCCATGATATCTTTAGCATCCTTCTGTAAAACCACACCTCTGTCGCTTCGAATTTCTTCTTCATCTTTGAGGAAATCGTCCAACATTCGCTACCGTAAAGAAGGGCAGATGTTAGGTAAGAGTTCAATATTCTTTGTTACCAAAGAAATCCTCCTGTCTCACAGTATTCTGCCCAACATTTGGAATGTGTCCTTGGCCATCCCAATACGCCTAAAGATCTCAGTGTCGCACTTACCGTACTCTGTCTGCCAAGACGCTTCCCAGATATTTAAACTTCCGTGTCTGCTTGCTTCTAGTGTTCCCGACCTGAAAATCGCATTTCGGGTTCATCCTCTTACTGACGACCATGCACTTCGTCTGCTTCTAGTTTATGCTTAGTCCCTTTTTCTCATTCTCCGTCGCTGTAGGAGATTTTGTAATTTCGTTTCCTTGTCTGCTATCAGTACTGTGCCATCTGCGTATCTTATGTTGTTAAGATTGTGACCACCAATGCTAAATCCCGGTAGGGTGTCCAATTCTCTTTGAAACTCACCGTATGAAAAAATAAATAACCACATTTACTGTCAATTGTTTCCTTCTATGAGGAAAGCCATTTCGAGCATTAAAAACTCCAAACTTTTAAGTAAATCTATCCAATAAAATAGCTCGCAAAATAACTCGATTCCGCCCACCGAAACCAAGAAATGTACTGAGGTATAGCATCTAAGTCCTTAAAAATGAAAGGGTAAATTTAGAATTCAGTAATAAACTTGTGAACAAATTGATGTCAATAAATCTTGATCAAAACAATAAAGAGAAATCCAATAATTTTATTATATCTTCATTAGTTGAATCTCAGGAGACAATTCCAAGAATACCTAGAAGGAAAAAGATAAACCCATTAGATGACGGTCCTAAGGTGAAAAAAAACTGATACAATAAAGAAAGAAATAGAAGAGAAAAAATGAAAGCGAAAAATACCTAAAAATTAAGAAAGAAAATTAAAAATATAATTAATTCTTTGAGAAAATAGTATCTCCGGAAATTTGTAAAATAAATTAATGAAACCAGGCAGCATGAATAATATGTAAAAAATGTGGAGAACAGCGAAATATCAAAATATCATACAATCAAAATCTCCACAGATGAAATGTCCTGGTCTCATAATACGTTTAATAATATTTCAACACTGGACACTCTAAACTTAAGATACGGGCAG